AAGATCTGCAATATAAGGGAAATTTTTCAAATTTTTATTTTGTTTCAATTCATCTATTTTTGATATTAACTTTTTTGAGTGTAACACGTCATTTTAGGGCTAAACATAGTAATAGTAAATAATAAACTTGTGCAACTTTGAAGCTCAAATTCTCCACAACAACATGAGATGAAATCGTGATTTTGTAGACTTTCAAATACACGATTTATTTTGGGGTGTTGCATTTCCATTTTTGGAGAATTGAAAAGCTACACGACCAATAAAAAGTTGTGGGACTAAGTGACTTGCATCATATTAGCTTTATGTTAAGGCGCAGTCGAATTTCGAACATAAGTGTAACACCCCTTTATGACATGTGTAACCCCTTTATGACACTGTCAAAATACTTTGGGCTGCATGTATTAAATGAATTATAATTAGTAGTATTAAGGGCAAATTAATTGACAAATAGTTGCCAAGGATTCTTTCATGATAAGCCAGGTGTAGCAATTAATTGTTTAAAGTACTCGAAATAATAATATAAATAACTAAATGACATATCGAGTATATAACTAAAAACTGTCTATATTGCTGATCACAGAACTTTATGAACCGAAAAATTATTTATTTGTTAATTAAAACTTTCTAAAAGATAAATATTAAAAATAAAAAAAGCATGTGAAATTATACTAATTTAAATAATTTTCTATGTTGTATGTTATTATTCAATATAATCTTTTTTAACTCTTTTATATAACAGAATAGATAATAAAAAAATACTAGTCATACATCCAAGGGCACTAAAATAAAAGGTTGTATTATAACAAGCGTAACCGTGACAATCATCTTTGTGTAGATCATAATTGAAGCCGAAAAGTAGATTGAACAGCTGACCTCCGATTGCCGGAAACTATAATTTGTTTTAATATTGAGAAAATTAGGGGTGGGAGAATTTGACAATTAAGACAGGAGAAAAATATGAATTGATTGATTGACTTACAATTGATATTATACCCCTACAAACATTAAAATAAAATAATAAAATATTACTAATATTATTTTGAATTTTCAATTCATCACAAAATTTAAAAACTCTTACCAGTTCAATCCGAAATTTTCATTACCAAACCATTCGGAAACGATGGTTGGACTAACACCAAACAAATTTCCAAATCCATAACCAACAAAAACACTAACGATCCATAAATCACTAACACGTTTAATATAAATAGCTGTCATCAAATGCCCAATTAATAACCAAGTCCCGGCCAAAATCAAATACCATAACCTTCTAAGATTAAATAAATTTTTTGTCACATCTGAAAACGCCCCAACGCTAATTCTACCTAAACACGAAAATATTGAGATCAGCGAGACATGATAATTTTGCAGATTTTGTAATATTTCAGGAGATGAAGGATGTCGTGGTTCGTAATAAAGAGATTTTATGATTGTACCAACATTATTAATATACATTAATCCTACTCCACCAAGAAAAAATATTGAACAAGTTAATAATATAGCATTATTATTTTTTAAAAAATTCCATCCTGATATATCCATATCTGATGATGTAGATGATGGCGATCTTAACAAAGGTGATGTTTCGGTATGTTCGCGTTCTCCTCCTTCAATTGCTACTATTTCATCGTTATTATCGTTATTTAACGGCGACGATGATGATGGTGGAGGGATAACGTTTAGAAACCAACCACCAACAAACAGAACAGACCCCGTTGTAATCGACAAAAATAACAAGAGATCGTAAACATTGTCTTTAAAAATCAAATCATCGATTTGTGCAAATGTGAAAGCCGATAATCCAAATAATGCTAATGGTGCTCCGAACGCTATTCCACGATACGAAGTAAAATTTTTTGCCTATCTTATTATATATTGTGGGCGTGAAAAAATGAAAACAAATATATGAAAAAGAGTAATAGCTATATCGAAAGAGAGACATTCAATTACTCACAATAGTTCCCAGGCATGACACGATACCTAGTTATAATAATAACTATTATTATGTGAAAAAATAATTATTTTCAAAATCACACAAAATCAATAATTTTACCTGCAGATGATGCAGCACCGGCTAAAAATAAGTAAATAGCACATAACATGAATGAGTGAACACGGAAATATCCTCCATATGTCATCGCTAAACTAAAATATCCAAAAAATACTAAAATCGAAGCGACCAATGTTGTTCTATAAAAAAAAAAAGGGTCAAAATTTTCATTCTTTCATTTTTTCGTCTTTGCGTGGAATTTTATAATATACATACTTTCTTGGACCATAACTATCCATGATATATCCATTCACCGGCATGCTCAAATAAACTCCATAATTTGCAAAACTACCAATAGTGTTGATTTCTATCGAGCTATAGCCTAATTTATCTGCCAAGGCTGTACTATACGAAGAAAAAAGATATTGAGTACCGCATACTGATGCGATTAGCAATGCCGCAACGTATGATAATATTAATTTAGTTGCTCTACTGCTACTATTATTGCTACTACTAAATAATGATAATAGTGGCATATTATTAGTGTTATTTAGAACTTTTATTATTATTTCAAAGAAGAATCAAATCAATCGATTTTTAAAAAACCGAAACAAAAAAAGATAAGGAGAAAAAAGGAATAATTTTATTATTATTATTATTGTTGTTGTTGTTATTATTATTATTATTATTATTATTATTATTATTATTATTATTATTATTTATCATCCTTTTCATTTCATTTATATAAATAAAATATGTATGTAAATCCTTCATTTTTTAAAATTTAAAATTCAGGGTTGATATATAAAAAACCGTTTATATATTTATTATATAAAACTTATCACGTCACATGTTACGGCCTTATTTACTTTTTTTAGAACAATAAAAATAAATTTCATACTAATTAAATCAATGTTTGTTGATTATCTAATCTAAAAATATTTATTATTGACATATTGAGATAATGTGCTTATTATTACTATGCGTGTAACAATGTCGCTTTCAAATATTTTGGTTTTGTAATCGTAAATCGCAACACTTCAAACTGGTATTCTATTGGCATCCTTTTTTTTACACTTTATTGTGACATGTTTTCAATGGATAACGGTCAAATGTTTTAATGCCTTCCGACCACTGTATAACCAAACATAATATTATTATTACGATTTGTTGTCACATTAATATGTAGCAATTTTGATCCGTGTAACCATTAAATTTTTATAACAAACTCCGCAGTGATAAAAAAATATACAGAAGAGAGATTGAAAGTCTGGAAGGATATTGAACACTTATTTGATAAAGACTGTGAACAAGAAAAATAATTGTTGCAAAAAGCTTCTACCAACAAAAAACCAATCCAAGAAGAATGGATTATAATTGTTCGCCATAGTTTTTACATTTTCTAAATATTATGGACATGAATAGTTATACGTTAATACACCATTTGGTTTAATAATTACGGATATAATTTGTTTTGGCTTGCTGTTAAAATTAACCACACAACTATGAAGAACTAATTACAACATTATGGATATGGCAACGATTATTTATTAAGAGGGGCAACAACTATAGAATAGATTAAAGAGATGGTAGGTATTATTAATATTTTAATTATAATAAAAAAAGGTCATAAATGGCTTTGATCCAAAGTATTTCTTCCCATGTAATTTCTCTGGCAGTTTTTATCTTGTATTTTTTTAATATTTAATATTCACATGTATATATATAAATTAAAATCATTATGTGTTTTCTCAAAATAAATAAACATTACTTATCTTTTTGTCATTATTAATTTTCCTTGAGCATGAATAACTTTATCCCCATTATTGTATCAGTATGCTTGATGAGGATGCTACATTTGATACTATTTATTGTTCTTAAATTCGTAAAAAATAAATAAATAAAGTTGATAAATTGTATCACCCAAGTAATGACAATATATATAGAAACAAAACTTTGAAGAAACCAATTTTGGAAAAGCCGCATACAAATAAAAATGGCAGTGTGGTAACTTTTATTTCCCTTAAAAATGAATATCCAATCACAAATCTGTCCCATGATTTTTTGTGCATGCGTGCTTTTCAATTGTGTACAATTACGAATTACCATTTCAAAACCATTTTTAAAAAAAAATTCTAAATCTAACTGATATTTATCACAGGTAGAGCTTGTACCCGAACCCTAGCCCTTAATTTGTATCTGATCTGTTATCACGCAATCATTAATATTAAAACATACTCGGATATCCGTCCAAATATTCGGATACTCGGGTATCCTCTAGTCAAAAAATTGTTTTTTCTTTGGTAATTCCATGAACATTATACAAAATGATTAATTGAATCCCCAGCTGTTCTACCTATTACTTTCACAGGATGCTTACAAATTTCATCCAAATCGTTAGGAATTTGGTATATGGCCCAAATAGTATTCTCATCTTGAACATGATCAAAAAATAGCCATGTCCAACTCCTAGCAGAATTATTCCTTGTTTTCAAAAATCCTTCAATATTATTATTATTACTCGTAGAACTTTAAAAATATAAATTAATCACTAATGGATTGGCTGTCGGTGGTTATAATTATATTAATTAGTTAACTAATCTCAGTAGTACTATCATCAGTGTTAGATGTTGAATTATTAGATTCTAAAACTATATCATTAATATTTGCTTGTTCAAAATTATCATCAGAATCAAATAAATCTATAATATATTTTAACATTATTGTAATTATTTATTTATTTATCGTTCATATTACCATATAGTTACAAACAAATAAATTCGGATAAATTCAGATATTAATATTAATATTTGAAACTTTATCTGAAATCTTATCTATCCGAATTGATTTTGTTATCTGAAATTTGATCTGAAATAAATTTTGTTTCCAGATATCTGGAAAATCAATTACACAAATACAAGCTCTAATCACAGGCGTCAGATTTAATAAGTTTCTTCTCTCAAGCATGCAATCCGCATCCTTCATAACCATGGAATTTTCCATAGGTGAAGAAGTTTGTCAAGTCGGAAGGCCTTGGACAAGTGAAAAGTTTAACAGTCTCCTTGACAATGATACAATCTCAATAAACCAGTGTTCGGAAATGACCTGATAATTTGACCATTATTGGATTTGGAAACATGATCATTTGGAGTTTGTCATTTCACAAATAATCCAAATGCCAAATTTTGAATCTCATTGGACAATCATTTGAATCATCTGTCATTTTGTCATTACAATTGTTTCAATTATGTATTCATATAAATATTAAATTATTAGGATTTATATTGTAACTATCTTTGATTGATTAATTTACAGGGCTTAATTTTTCGATCCTAATTCAATTTAAAATAAAATATACGAATTTTAATAGTAAACTTTATATTTTTTATATGGGCTTTGCGATTTTAAACTAAATTTATGTAAATGCGCCTTTAAAAACATATTACAGTTTTATATCCCCCTTTTTTTTTTGAGAGGTTTATGGATTCATTTACCTTTGTTAAAATCAACATTTAACGGAGCAATATTATTTAATGAGCTGTTGTTACTTGTATAACTTTTCAACTTGGCAATTTCGTCATCTAATATTCTACTTGTACAATATGCATCTGGATGTGATTTGTGTACTTGTTGCAAAACACTACTACTAGTATTATTATTATTAACAAGGATTTTTTTTAGTTTATTTTCAGCAAAGTCAAAAAGCTCTCCAATAGTTGGTCTTTTAGATGGATCCACATCCCAACATTTCTGCATTATTTGCAAATAATCAACAGGTATTTCAGGTAATATTGGTGGTCGTAAACCTGCAGATATGTTAAACATTAAGTCATGATTATGAGCTCTATCATCAAATGGTGGATGGCCTGCAAATATTTCCCACATTAACATCCCAACACTATAAATATCTGATTCTTTGGTGTTTTTATTTCCTCTAAATAGCTCAGGTGCAATGTATGATACAATTCCATAGATTTTATTTGATAATTTTTCATCAACTGGTCCACATAATCCTAAATCTGTAATATAACAATTACCACCTTGCAATAATATATTGCCACTATGTAAATCACAATGAATTAAATCTTTTTCATGTATATAATATAATGCATCACATAAATATCTAAAGATTGTAATTCTATTTTTTAGTGTTAAATTAGAATGATTTTTTTGTAAATAATCCTTTAAATTTCCTTCACTATGATAATCAAGAACCATTGCATAATTTCCATTATCCAAGAATTTAGTTATACCATGGCAAGGAACAATTGTTGGTGACCTAATTTTAAAATAATTCATTGCCTGCAATTAAAATATAGAATAAATTAATATAGTGTTATTTATTTTTTTGATTTGAATAAAAGCTACCAACCTCATCAAAGAATGTTTTTCCTGGATTACTTGAATTATTTAAACATTTTAACACTACTAGTTGCTTTCCATAATAACTAAATTCCTTTTTATTTTTATCATAATCATTTATTTTTCCCCTTGTCCATTTAGCAGTATAAACTGAACTAAATCCACCTTCAGTTAATTTTTTTACTTTTATGAATTGATCAAAAGGTATCCATTCTAAAATATATTCTGGCAGAGATGATTTCATTTGACATTGTTGAATAAAATTATCAATTATGTTATTTCCAGATGTCCAAGTAGTGAAAAGACTCTGTAGTTGTAAACCAATACAACCTTCACAGAATCTATTAGAATATCTTGTTGATTTACACTTGTTACATTTTTTTGGTTTGCCATATTTATAAATTACATTATTTAATTCAAAACAATAAATAAAACTTTCTCTACAATATTTTTTTTCATTTTCAGAAAGCTCCTTATTTTTTTTGACTAATGAAAAAAAGTAATCTTTCATAGTTTCTCTACTAGAATTAACTAGAGCATTATTATACATTTCACTACAAATTTTAATTACAAAGTTTCTTCTTTCTGGTGATAATAATCTTTCAAATGACATTTTAATGTCTTTTTATTTTGGAAGAAGGTAATTATTATTGAATGATGAAGGAAAAAATTTTTTTTTGAGAATAGTAATTTTTTGTTTCTGCATACCTGCACAAAAATGATAAATTTAAAAAGGTTATGTATACAACAACAACAAACAATAATAATATGGAGTCATCTAAAGATATCAAAAAAATTGTGCAACTTCAAACCACCAAGACTTTCTTTTTAATTAATAAAATTGAAAAAAACTGTACGCGTGTCACCGATTAAATTTGGGAGAGCGTGTTTTAATTGGTGATAACAATTATTTTTATTTTGTGTGGATCAGAATGAATAGGGGATCAACGAATTGATTTTGGTATTAGCGAATAATTTTGGTTAAAGAAGATAAAAGTT